AAAACAAATGACAAGAAAGTAGAAGGAAGCCTATTATTAGACCAAGGAAAAAGAGCAAGAGGGAGAGCAGGGTAAGGTTGGGCAACAGAAAGGATAGGTATGAGCAAAATCTATTATACGCACTGAACCCTCCACCAAATCATAAAACCGGGGTAAGTGCGGGGCAAGAAGAAATGGAGGATGGGTAAAATCTGCAATGCCAAATCTGCCAAATCTCCCATTAATCTGCAAAACCAATTTTAAAAAGTTTTTAAAAAGAAAGAAATGTAGGGACCAGGGAGATAGCTCAGTAGAATAAGCGCTTGCCTGGCAAGCACAAGGTCCTGAGTTCAAGCGTTGATACCGCAAAAAAAAAAAAAAAAAAAAGAAAAGAAAAGAAAAGAAAAGAAAAGAAATGTAGAACTGATACAGGCTTCAACTCACGTGAACCATAAAAACACTATGCAAAGTGAAGGAAGCCAGATAAAATGATCACATATCATATGATCCTATTTATATGAAATACACAGAACATGTAAATCAACAGAAAGAGAAAGCAGAATGGTAGGTGCCAGGGAGAGGGAGAGGTAGGGACTGATGACACTACAAGGTGCTCTGTCGGGTGATTAAAGGCCTGGAAGTAGAGAAATGTGATGCTTTTAAGTATTGTCAGTGTATTAAATGACACTCAATTGTCTACTTCAAAATGGTTAAATAAATATCTGAATTTCACCTCATTTAAAAAAAAAAGATTAAGATAGTAATAGATGCTACTACCAAAGTCAGGAATAAGCCAAGTATGGTGGCACACACTTGGAACAACAGTACTCAGGAGTCTGAGGTAGAAAGCTTCAAAGTTTGACTCCAGCCTAGGTTACATAACAAGTTCAAGTCCCCCCCCCCAACTATGGTCACCATGGTGATGGATACGCAAACCACTGAATTATAATTTGGGGGGTGGGATGGTACTGCAACTGAACCCAGAACTGTTGCACTGTGCTGCTTCTCAATCCTTTTAATATTTTATAGTTGAATCTTACTAAGTCACTAAGTGCCCAGTCTGGGTTTGAATTTTCAATCCTTGCACTTCACTTTCCCAGACTTCTAGGATTATAGATGTGCATCATTACTCTAAAAATAAGTGAAATGTATGATTACATAAATTATACCCTGATAAAATCATTAAAAATCAAAGCTACTGGCATATAATGAGATACTTAATAAGTTAAAATCTTCCCACAAAAACATCCTACCTCACGCCAGCATGGTAACCCATATCTGTAGTCCTAGAACTCTAAAAGGATGAGGCAGAAAGATCACAAATTCAAGCCCAGATGGGCAATTTAGTGAAGCCCTGTGTCAGAAAATAAAAAAGGGGTGGGAACGTACTTCACTATGAAAGCCCTGGGTTCAACCCCCTAGTACCACCCAAACCAAAAGAGAACAAAATCACCATCCAGCTCCAAACAACTTTACTACTTAATTCACAGAATCCTAAATCAATGTTAAAAATTAATTGTATGTATATACAGCAAGAACAAATCATTCAAAAATAAAAACCAGTTTGTTCCTAACAGCACAAAAAAGAATGAAATACTTAGGGAAAGGCAGTAACTATAGCAGAAAAAAATAACAAATGACAGTTTATCAAAACAAAAAACTAGGGGCCGGGGAGATGGCTCAGTGGAATAAGTGCTTCCCTGGCAAGCGCAAAGGCCTGAGTTCAATCCCTGGTTCCGCAAAAAAAAAAAAAAAAAGCAGAAAAAAATTTTAAAAAAAACAAAAAACTTTTGTAATACAAAATATATCACCAAGGGCCAGGGATACAGCTCAGTGGCATAAATACCTGCCTGGTAAGTGCTAGGTCTTGAGTTCAATTCCCGGTACAGGAAAACAAAATCAAATATATCATCAAGAAAATGAAAAGACAAGCCAAGGACTGGGAGAAAAATTTGCAAGTCACATATTTAATACAGAACATGCATCCAGAATTTATAAAGAATCTTACCACACAATAATAGCAAGACCATCTTAATCTCTTTTGTAACACCATAATAAATAAGACAATTTAATTTAAAAATCAGCAAAAGCTTTGAATAAACATTTCACCAAATGTAAACAGATATCAAACCCATTAATAATTAAGCTATGCAAGTTAATCCACATGCAACACCTCTCTGTACCCACTAGTATGGCTGTAATAAAACAGTCTTAGTGACAGGAGGCTGCAGAGAAAATAGAACCTTCATTTATTGCTACTGGAACTGTTAAAATGGTGCAGTCACGTTGGAAAAGTTTGGTAGTTGCTTAAAAAGTCAAGTTATCACATGAACCAATAATTTCACTCTTAGGTACCAGAGATGAATGGAAATACACATTCAAACAAATACATGTGAGAATGTTGGGAGTGGTAATATTGATTATAGCCCCAAACTGAAACAATTCAAATATCCACCAGTGAACAAATAGACACTTGTATCACCAGTTCCATCTTTATTTTTGGCAGTTACACTTGTAATTACTAATTTCAATTGTAAAAAGTGTCTACAGAAACAAAAAGCAATAGTGTTTGGCTGGCCATTACCTAGCTGGTGATGGGGTAAGAAAGGATGGAAATACGAATCTATTGCAAAAAGTATTTCTTGGTGTAATTAAATCATTCTCAATCAGCTATAGTCATTGTTTGCCAACTCTAAAAATGTATTAAACATCACATACAATTATAATAATGTATTTTATGGCATGTAAATTATACTTCAATATTACTGTTGAAAAAAAGCCCCCAGGGGGCCAGGGAGATGGCTCAGTGGAATAAGTGCTTCCCTGGTAAGCACAAGGGCCTGAGTTCAATCCCCGGTTCTGCAAAAAAAAAAAAAAAAAAAAAAGAAAAAGAAAAAGAAAAAAGCCCCCAAAATAGCTGTGTTTATGTGTGTGTATACAACATATATGTTCTCAGATAAAGTAATCTTGCAGAATTTATTTTCTTTCTTTTGGGGGGGGTGTAAGGGAGGGTAAGGTTTTTTTTCTTTAAAGAAATGGGCTGGCTTTCACTATGTAGCCCTTGCTGTCTTTGAACTCCTGGATTTAAGTGGTCCTCCTCCAACTGAGTAGCTGGAAATACAGGCACATGCCACTGTGCATCCAGCTGCAACTAATTTCTTCCTTACTGCTTTAACATACACTGGCCTCTACTGGCCAAATGAGAGATTAGATCACTTGATTATTTCTAATGTATCCACTATATGTAATTGGCACACGGTCTCACTATGCAGCTCAGACTCATAGTGATCCTCCTATTTTTAGCCTCCCCAGTGCTGGGATTACAGGTGTGTGTCACCATGCCTGGACTCAGTGGCTGGCTCAGCACACCTAGGGGCAGGGCTGGCACAGCATGTGGTGCTGGGGATTGAACCCTTGTCCCTTGCTTGCCTAAGCAAGTGCTTAGTCCACTGAGCTATCTTGCTGGCCTGAGAATGAACTTTGATAAGCTGAATAATAAACCCACAACCACCATAAAATAAACGTTAGAAATAATAACTGTTACTTTAGTTTAGATGTTGACAATAATTTTAACATGGCCTTTAAATTTTAAAAAGCGTTAAGGTTAATATTCACCAAGAATTTATTGAGCATTTTTTGTTTACAAAGTAGTCTAAAATCTACAAAGAAAGTTTTTGAAACATTAAGCTACTACAAATGGTTAAAGAGCTTACTATTAATGTTGAAAAATGTTACAGTGTATGTGAAAAAGATTATCATTTTCAATTTTTGTACAATGACTAACTGCTATAAAAATGAAAATGTTAAACTTTGACCATTATGGGTCTCATACAACATTAAGATAGAATGTAGGCTACTAACGTTCTTCCTTAGAACTAGAAAATGAGACTCAGAATACATTGTGGGCTTATTTGTCAAGATTAGAACAACAACAAATGAATAATATTCATAATTCATCACATGAGACCTTCTTTATATTATAATATAATGCTTACACTTAGTGTACTACTGCTAAGTTTTTGGAATTTAGGTTAACTAACTTAGCAGATGGAATAGTGCCCTAACAGTAGGAAATAAAGCAAATTACCCTTAAATTCTTTTTGGCACTATTTGGGAAAATGGAAAAAATAGACTACAAAACAATAGGTTCCCTGGGTTAGGGTTTCCACAGAAGACAGAGGCACTCGGCCAGGGCAGAGAGCTGGGAGCTGTGGTACTTCCTAGGACAGCAGCTGGCAAGACTGAAGCACGAACTTACTCCCAGCATGTGAGCAACTGCTGACTTTCGTGCCTCTAGTGTTACTGGAAATAAGGCTTCTCCGTCCAGCCACCAGAAGGAAGGCGTCTTTTTTTTTTTTCTTTTTAGGCAGGGTCTCACTATGTAGCCCAGGCTGGCCCTGAACTCGCAGTGATCTTCTTGCCTCAGCCTCCTGCGTGCTGGGACCACAAGTATGTGCCACTGCACCTGGCTAGGAGTCCTTGAATTATCTGTTTCCAAAATTTTTATTATTAGCATCTTATTTATGAAAAAAACAATCTGACATCTATTCTCCATGGGTTGGATGAAGAAGAAGTGGCAGAAGAAGTAAAATAAGAACAGCTGGGCTGGTGAGATAGCTCAGTGGACTAAGCACCTGCTTGGGCAAGCACAGGGACCTGGGTTGGATCCCCAGCACCACAGGATGCGCCAACCCCACCCCCTAGGTGCACTGAGCCAGCTACAGAGAACAAGCATGGTGGCGCAGGCCTATAATCCCAGCACTGGGGAGGCTGAAAACAGGAGGATCACTATGAATCTGAACTGTGTAGGGAGACCCTGTACCAAACACATAAACAAACAAACAACAACAAGAACAAAAAACAAAACACAGGACTACATATATGCCCTTGAACATAAATAGCCACTAAGATGCTGCTGTTATCAACATTACCAGTCCTGGTCATTAGGGAAAGGAGAAAGCAAACTATCAGAAATAAATTTTCCCTGAACAACAAGTGAACTAATAAAATTCAAAACTCACCTGAAAACATTCTGACAAAATCGTCAGTAGACATACTCATCACGACATCTGCCCGGTCAGAGGGCTCCCCGTGTCCAACATTCCCGCCCTTGCTTTTGAGATCAAGAAACCACGTGCCACCATCTTCACCTGTATAGATACACACACACAAACACACTTAGCAATGACGACAGTTCAGCTCATCTGCCCAAAGGCTGCCTCCAGCAATCAAACTCCATAAATATTTACTAAGCATCTATTATAATCCAGATACTGTGCTAGATTCTGACCATTCAGTGAACAAGAGAAACATGGTTCTTCTCACAAGAGAGCAGGTGATGGGAGAGCGTACTAATAAAAGGTCCAGGATACCTAAAACAGTGAAATTCAGAAAGACAGAAAACAGGTCGTTACTGGGGTCTGGGGGCAGCAAGGGTGGGAGTTATTACGGGATACTTACAGAAATTCAGTTTGGGAATGTTGAGAAAGTTCTAGAGATGGATAATGGTGATGACTGTACAACAATGTAAATGCACTTAATGCTGCTGAACTGTATTAGGAATACTTAACATATCAAATTTATGCATATTTTATCAAAATAAATTACCTGCGATGTAGCTCAGTGGTAGGCCATTACCATTTGCCACAGCGCTTGCCTAGCATATTCAAATCCCGCAATTTTGGGGCCAGGGAGATGGCTCAGTAGAATAAGCACTTCCCTGGTAAGTGCAAGGGTCTGAGTTCAATCCCCAGTTTCGCAAAAAAAAAAAAAAAAAAAAAAAAATCCCGTGATTTGATCCTCATAGCATAAAAGAATTAAGGTAGGCATGATGGTGTCCACCTGTAATCCTAGCAGTCCAGGAGGCTGTGGCAGGAGGGTTGCCAAGGTGAAGCTCAGACCAGGCAATTTAGCAACTTAGTAAGATCCTGTTTCAAAATAAAAAAAAACCAAAAAGGCTGGATATATAGCTCAGGGAGAATCCCTGGATTAGTCACCTTTCTGCAATAAATGGGTAGACAGATAAAAAACTATATAAGGAGAGAAGGAAACAGACAGACAAGCACATTGAGGGGGGTGCTCAGTTGTAGCTGACCTACCATGTGCTAAAGCACATGTTTATATGCCACAGAGCACTTGTCTAAAATTTGCAAGGCCCTAGACTTGATCTCCAAATCATAAAAACTTAGTTAAGTTAAAAACAGCTCCAGAAAAGCCAAGCTGAAGCTGAGCTTTCAAAGTAAAGTAAGAATTAGCTAGAAAGACTAGGAAGAGGGAAAATAGTCCAGACAATGGGAACTCAGGATATTAAAAATAAAAAGCAAAATCAAGGGTGCATGCAGCATGTGTGAGGAATTGAGAAAAGTACTGCAGGACCGAGGCTGAAAGGGAATGGACAGGGGCATCAGAGGAGCTCAGGAGCAGCCTAGGTACGGAACACAGTACATCCACGAAGGGACTGAATGCTTCATCTGCAGGAGGCAACGGGGACTGAGAATGATGGATCATGCTTTGCATCTTAAATAAGTTACCCTACCTAGAACGCAGGTGGAATACTGGGGAGTGTGACAGTTAATTATGTTATGCCAACTTCACTAGGTTAAGAAATGTTTAGCAGATTAGTAAAGCATGCTCCTGGGTGGGTCTGGGTGGTCCTAAAATGTGACTGTGGGTATTGTCTATGGTCCTTGCTCATTCTTCTCTAGCTTGTTTCCAACCATTGTGGACAAAGCATCTTGGCTACGCTACACTGTACCACCTACTACCATGAGGTTTCTGCCCTGGATGGAGCCTGCTGACCATGACGGACTCTCCTGAAACCATGACCTAAAGTAAACCTTTAAATTGTGGGTGTCAGACATTGGATCCCAGCCACAGCAAGAGATGGAGAGGATGTGCAAGGCTGGTAAGGATGGTGATACAGTACACCATGAGCTTGAGGACGTGTGTGTGTGTGTGCATGGAGAAAAGTGGGCACATCTGAGACAAAACTTCACAGCAGAATTACAAGCCCAGGTAACTGATTTGAATATTGAGAAGAAAAGTAGGTAAGGTACATAGGAATGATCTGCTACTTTTTGGCTCAGAAAATTGGGTAAATATGGGCATTTTCTATACTGAGTGAGGACTTCAGAAGAGCAGCAGATTTAACAGGTAGTGGCAAAGACAGGTTGGAACTAGCGAGTTGTTCTGGAGATTTTCAGTTGGAGGCTTTGGGATAGCCAAGTAAAAATGTCAAATGAAGTCTAAGCTACAAATATAGATACGTAATTAATCAGTTCAGAAGGCCACTTAAGCCTCACAGATGATTGTGGATTCCTAGAAAAGTTTGTACAGTGTAAAGAGTACCAAGAAGGCGACCTCAAAAAACCACAGAGGAGAAGGATTGAGCAAAGGAGACCAACAGCATGGCCAGGGGCCAACAAAGAACACAGGGAAACTACCAAGAAAGAGGCCAAAAAGGGGGACATTTCTGCAAGAGTGGTCAGCAGGCTTCCATGCTGCAGAGTGGTTACAAGAAGGCATGACAGACACTGACAAAGGTTCTACAATCTGAGGTACAGGATCTCAGCATAAATCCTGAGGGCATTTCACTGACCTTCTCAGATCAAAAAGCTACAACTCTTGTTGCACAGGGCCTGCTTTACCTTGGTCTTAACCATCCAGTAGAAAAGTATGAAGACGAAATATAGGAAGTAAAACCATGTTGTTATGTTGAGCTGTGGGAGACTCAGGTCAATAATTTCTGACATTGCCAGTTAAACAGAAGACCCAATGCTATTATGGGCTACTGGTCTCTTTTAGAATATTTTGCTGAGTTTACACACCTATAATATTCAATAACGGAACTTAAAAAAAATGGGGTATAACTATGAATGTCCATTTTGTATCTGTGTATTCAAAGTGGTTGGGATAGATATATAGTTGCATTCTCTTAATGAATAGAATGATTTTTTCTAATGGTGTTTGTAAGTAGGATCACAAGTCTGCATCTTGTACAGCAATTAACCACTAAGAAGAATATATGCAGTGTATTATTTGTTAAAACTGTAGTTTCGATTTGATTTGAAACTGTCTCATTGCTATATGTTTATCAATAAAACTTTGAAAAGAATAAAAAGGCTAAAATTATAAAAAAATAAAAAAAAATAAGAGAGAACTATTAAAAAAAAAAAAAAAAAAAAGAAGGCATGACAAAGGCCCACTGGTGCCATGGGCGTCACAGAAGACCCTGAAGAAAGCAGTATTCATTTATTTGGTTATTTATTTGCAGTACAATGGATTGAACTCAGGGCTTTCTACTATAGTACATCCCCAGCCATTATAGCCCTTGTTTTTTTGTTGTTTTGTTTTGTTTGCTGTTATTTTAATTTTTTTTTTTCCGATTTTTTTTTGTGGAACCGGGGATTGAACTCAGGCCCTTGCGCTTGCCAGGCAAGCACTTATTTTACTGAGCTATCTCCCCGGCCCTGTTATTTTAATTTTGAGACAGTCTTGTCACTAAGTTGACCAGGTTGGGCTCAGACTTGTGATCCTCTGCCTCAGCCTCCCAGAGCATTGCGCTTACAGGTGTGCACCACAGTAGGTTGAAGAAAACAAATTTTATGGAACAAAAGAAAATGGTATCAAAGCAGCAGTGTGAGGTGCAGAAGAAGGACATGTTCCTCTTGAAAGGAACAAAAAAATGTATGGTCTTGTTACTGCTGTTATAGTCTGTGTTATAGAAAAGAGCTGATGACATTAAACTTTGATGGGGGGAGCGCTGCAGCATGAAAAGATTGAAAAGAAGGCAAAAGAAACAGGATCTAGAACTCTGCTACTGAAATGGTCATCCATGTACTTACAATCCAGTCATCATCAGTCAGAAATGCAGAGTCTAAGACCCCAGCCCAGCCCTGCACGTCACACCCTGCATCTGAAGACAGGCCCAGGTACTCAGAATCATACAGACATCGAAGGTTGCGGTACACTGATCAAAAACTGAGCTCTGTTTCTTGGGAGGGAGGGACAGATCTACATTTGATGTAATGATCAATCTACATTTGATGGCCGGAAGCTGAAGCAATTCCTGTCTGTGACTGTGTGAAGGTTTTAAAAAGCTGCAGTAGAGGGGCCGGGGAGATGGTTCAGTAGAATAAGCGCCTCCCTGGTAAGTACAAGGGCCTGAGTTCAATCCCCAGTTCTGCCAAAGGAAAAAAAAAAAAAAGTTGCAGTACAAAATGAAGTAATAAGCCAAAAACACAGAATTCTGAGGTGCTGCTTAGAATTATTTGAACAGGGGCTGGTGACATGGCTCAGTGGTCTAAAGCACCTACTTAGAACAAGCTTAGCAAAGCACATGGACCGCGGTTCAATCCCCCAGCACCACATGCCAGCCAGCCCCACCC